ACATTTAATTAATGAACAAACTGCATTTAACAAAACACTGATCACAACAATTTAATATCACAAAATATACATATATATATATATATATATATATATATATATATATATATATATATATATATATATTAGGTGGACCGGAAAGTAATATCATTTCTGTGTATGTCGATATTTGATTGTGATTAAAAATAAAAACTTGTTAAAAATTTATACGTTTGAATTTAATTTAAGAAAGCGACATTACTTTCCGATCCCCCTGATATATATAAATTACATATTGACAACATTTCTTTTGGTAATAAAAATTTAATGTAAATAAATCTCACAAAATTAATGATGTTACGAGAGAGAAGGAGAGAGATAGAGAGAGAGAGGCAGAGAGATAAAAAAAAAAGATAAAAAAAGAAGAAGAAAAAAGAAAACTTTTCAAAGTGTACTCACCATGATGCAATTGAGAAAAGAGAGAATGAGAAAAAAAAAATTTAGATTAGAAGATACTAATGTGGAATATCCAAGGATAAAATCGCGTTTCTCGAACGTAGCTTTCTACTTGCCAGTTTGAAACGTTATGATGGCATTGGGCGATGTTCTTCTCGTATATAAATTGCCGCTGGCTTCCATATTTCCCCCACTACTTTTTTTTTTCTAAGTGCGTACGAAAGATACATAACATCGACGCATGGGGAAGTTCGCAGTAACTTCCCGCGGTTGATTAGAGATATGAAGAGAGAAAGAGAGAGAGAAAGAGGGAGAGAAACAGAGAAGTGAAGAGAGAAAGAGAGAGGTGAAGAGAGTGATGAAGAGAGAGAGAAAGAGATGAAGAGAGAGATGAAGAGAGAGAGAAAGAGGTGAAGAGAGAGATGAAGAGAGAGAGAAAGAGGTGAAGAGAGAGATGAAGAGAGGGAGAGAGAGAGGTGAAGAGAGAGATAAAAAGAGGGAGAGAGAGAGGTGAAGAGAGAGATAAAAAGAGGGAGAGAGAGAGGTGAAGAGAGAGATAAAAAGAGGGAGAGAGAGAGGTGAAGAGAGAGATAAAGAGAGAAAGAGAGAGAGGTGGTGAGAGAGGTGGAGAGAGAGAGAAAGAGAGAGAGAGAGAGAGAGAAAAGATGCATATAAAATACAGGGTAAATCGAATGTTTCTAATGATAAAAAAATTCTTCTAACGATAATACTTACGTCCTAATTTCGTAATAAAAAATTCCAATTACGCATTTATCATCTAATCAAACAAACCCATCCGTAATAGATCCTTAAAGCTTCTTGTAACGTCTAACAATTATTATAGCTTTAAAATATACGATATAAATTGAATTAACGAACGAATCGATTTTTCTTTATTTTCTATTTTCTTTTTTTTTTTCTCTTTCTTGTTTTAACTTTTCGTATGAAAAAGATTACGTAGGATTTACGATTTTATTTATATAAAAAAAAAAAAAAAAAAGGAAAGAAAAGTAAAAAACAAGAAGCTAGATAAGAAAAACAAAGGAAGGCTTTTAAAAGTGATTAAACGATGAATGTGTTAGGAATCGATTTTTCTTTATTGTCTATTTTTTTTTTTTACTTTCTTGTTTTAACTTTTCGTATGAAAAAGATTACGTAGGATTTACGTTTTTATTTATACAAAAAAGAAAAAAGAAAAAAAAGGAAAGGAAAGTAAAAAAACATGAAGCTAGATAAGAAAAACAAAGGATGGTCTTTAAGAGTGATTAAACGATGAATGTTAGGAATGAAGGAAAAAATTAAAATTGAAAATAAAAATGAAGTAAAAAATATATATACATATATATATATATATATATATATATATATAGAGAGAGAGAGAGAGAGAGAGAGAGAGAAAGAAATCCATTAAGTCTCGGGTACAAAAGAATGTGATTTTCTATGCCTATAATCAAGGACATTAAACGTTCGCGCCCAATTACATCGTTGATTTTTTTTGCGGTTTGTAGATGAAACATCGTTTTCACGCTCGTATTTGTGCATACATATTGGAAAAAAAAAAAGAAAAAGAAAAACAGAACTTGTGGTTTTCCATTGAAAATCATGAAATAATGAAATCTTTCTTTTCTTTTTCCTTACGAATATTGTCAAACGTTTACAATCTTCAAACATTTTTCTAATATATATCAAATATAATTTCAATATAAATATAAGTTCTAAAATGTTTCTGTAATGTACAACAGATCTCTAATATACTTTTATGATATATTCTTCTGTGAAATATATATATTTCTTTAAAATATATAAACTCTTCTTCATATATATATATATATATATATATATATATGTATATATATTGTACATACATACTTAAAATATATAATTTTCTTCATATATGTATCTACATACATACATATATATATATATTATTATTATTATATATATATATATTATTATATATATATATATAATAATAATAATATTAGGTTGGAAACTATGAAACGGGCGTTTTGTTTAGTTATTTATTTTCATTAAACGCCCGTTTCATAATTTCCAACCTAATATACTATTATATTATATATATATATATATATATATATATGTACATAATTCATATGTATATGTATATATATATATGTATATAATTAAAAATATATAAGAAAAATAATAATGTGTAATCATGAACTTGACTTTCACTTTTATCTATGACCTTTTCATCTTTCGTCGACAATAATAACGAATACATTTTCTTATTTACATCCACATATTTTGTGCAGCACACACACAAATACACACACACACACAAATACACACACACACACACACATATATATTCCATGAAAGAGTTAAAATAACAGACAAATACAAAACGTTTTGGATATTCCCCTTAAAGACGAAATGCAATTTCATTTTGTTGGTTGACCTCAGAACGGTACAAA